AATTTATTTGGAAAAACTTTGACCGAACAGGATGTTAAATATACAGAAGAGTTGGGTTCATTTTCTACCAAATAAATAGAATTTCTCTTGTGTTTGTTTGTAGAAGTCAGCCAAAAAGAATCTTTCATGTTTTGTATATTTGTTTTCGTTTTCTTTCATAATGCTATTCTTATCCTCTATGTGTTTACAATTAGTTTATTTTCTTTTAACTTTAAAATCTAATGAAAAATTTTCAATGGCTTTAGACTTTTGTTGATGTATTGCATCATTTAAAACAAAAATTTCTTGTACGAAAAAAACACTTCTAGTTACATACATTATTATTACAAATAAGAAAAAAATCTCTATGTGCGATGTTTATGTATACGAGAACCTACTTCTATGCTTATTATTTTTGCACTATAGGTTATTATGGAATAAAAATCATTACAACTTATCTAAATGTCACATTTCACTGAACATTCAAGATCCTGTTATTTTGTCGTGTTTGGAAAGGTGTTAGATATTTTAAACAAATATTTTACTCTTCTAATTTTTATAATAATTCTTTGCTAAATAATTGTGGTATATTTTGTGTTTTCATTAATTCGATTTTTTTTTCTGTAATTCTGATGTTTAATGTAAAAAACCTGCAGATTTAAAAAGGACCTTCTTTGCCTCAGAAACACATCAGGGTTTATTTTTGAATAAAATTTAATTGCATTATTTTTTAAAATAAATTAATATTCATACACATGAGCTAAATGAATCAACGAACATTTTACAAAAATTTTGAAAAACTCTGTTAAGTAAGTGCTGATTTTTTTGGAACTCAGATTTAAAAATTGGAATTACACACAAAATATGTATTAACAATATTTTGGAATGACGTCATAAAGTGTTTTCTACCTTCAGGATAAGTTTTACAATGATCCTTTAACTTTAAAGTAACACGTTCAAGAGTTTTGAAATTATGACTTTAATAAATTTGTCAATACGCAGATGGAAATGAAAACTTTCACGTTTGTATTCCATGACTTTGCTCCTTTGATTAAAGGTAGTGCAAAATGATCCATGGGTAGTGTCAAAACTATCATGAAATTCCATTGAAGAATGTTGAAGTTATAAATTTTAAGTTAAAAACCTACGAATATTGTACAACAATATTTTTTAAATGCGTTCATCTGTTTCAAGGCTTCATTATTATATCTACTTGTGGTTAATGGTATAATATTGATTTCGGTTCTAACTGACTTCACATTGATAATTAAATGTAATCACGGATCTAGAGAAATAAAAAAAAAAACAAAACTGTCATATGGAGGAACAATATTTATGACTGAAAAATTCGTCCAAGTTTATTTAGATTTCCCCGCCTTTGAGGTACAATGTAATAAATCCAGGTTATTCCAGAAATGATAAAATTTGATTGATGGAAATTTTATTTATTTTGTGATAACCCCTATAAGTACATATAATACCAGTTACAGTGTAAGAAAAAAATGGTCCCTAGGAGGATCGAATCAGTGGCCATTGCACTGTATTACTCTGCATCTCTTATAATAAAACGATATTAAACAACTTTAATTTTTTTGGAAAACTGACTAAAAACTCAAGGTAGATTCATAAACTAGTAGTATAAGGGTATGTAATTTTATAAAATTTTGTGATCACGTCATTAAATTGCCGGTGGGGATGATTGAACAAATTTTAGTTGGGGTTTGCTGATACATCTAGAATTTAACAGTAATTGTCCCGGTTGTTTTCAAGATGATCTGTCTAATAGACGACAAAGAGGCGACAAACAAATGGAAACGGGAGACCTATTTTGACAAGTTAGGAGTCATGAATCGTTGAGAAACATGAAAGTAGATGTTCCCCGGATGGGCCCTACTACAATACCGCCCTAGCTTACGTCTGGGAAGTGAAAAGTACTACTAAGTGCTCTTTATGAAATAATATTAATGAAATTAATTTTGGAAATTTAAAATTTACATTAAATTGATGTTAAGAATTGATCGAAGGTTTTTTCGACAGAACTTACCTCTGAAGTACAGTTCGACAAATCCCGCTTCTTTGAAAAATTATAAAATTTGATTTTGCGAACTTTTATTAACTTCTACACAATAAAACAAATATAAGTAATACCAGTAATAGTGTTAGAAATTAAATGACACCTCACATTTTTTTTGAGTTTGTCTACGACGTCCAACTTTTTTTCCCTAGGTGTATGCTAAGGAAGTATTGTAATCGAGTCCATCGGACGACTGGCTATTTTCATATTTTTTGACGTGTCATGCCTCAAGTGTACGAAAAAATGGGTCTGTCTGTCTGTTAGACGTCTGTCTAGCTTTTTATTATACAGATAATTTCCGAAACTACTTCACCGATTGCTGTAAAATTTTATATGTATGTTAGGAATATCCTATAGATGGTATAACGCTAACCAAAATTCGCCTAATCATCTCTGCCATCAATCTAAAGACATCCTCTCAAAATTTTTCATAGATAGTAGTGTTTAAATTTTATAAAGTAACATATTTCTGCACTTGTTCTTTATGAATCTGTCTTCAGATGTTCCCCGTGGCACCCAAATTATCACAAAAAAATAGAAATTGTATCATAGTGCTTAACTTAACTTACATTAACTTATTCTATCTGGAAGTAACAGTAAACTATAGCTGTTATCAAAGTTAAATATTTGCAGATTTCTGTTTTCTTTCTGTTGCTCTATAATTGTTTTTTTTACCTGTTGACCAACGTACGTGCTTAATAATAATAATAACAATAATACTTAAAAAAAAAACACTGTGTTTAATTAATTAATTTGTTTTTCCCAATTCATTGATGGATTATATTTTAATCATTCATACTTCGCCACTGCCTTTGACTCGAGTGCATTTCTCCACCTTTCATAGGGAACGAATTAACAATTACTCCAAAGCATTGATAAAGTAAAGGCTGTACCTGTGTTTCTAGTGAGTTCCTATTGGGAAATGTTGCGGTCAAGTATATGTATGTCAATTCCGTTACGTGCGCGTACTTCGCGTTACAAGTAAGCAACGAGCTGACGAATAACTTTATGGGCGCTCCGCTTATACTAGTATAAAAGGTTGCTATAAAATTTCGATTTTTTGCGAAAATTTGCATGTCCTGGGGAAAACTTCAAGGCTAATTAATAAACCACAAGTACAGGAGTATGTTATTTTTTTAAATTTAATCCTACTTAATATGAAAAATTTTGAGGGGGCGTCATTACAGTATTGGTGCGAATGATTAGGCAAATTAGCTTTTTCCCATTTACACGGTATTCTTAACATATTGACACTGATGGCAGACGGCATCCGCATACGGCACACAGCAGACAGACAGCTAGCCAGACAGATAGACGGAATCGGGAGACCTTTTTACAATACATGGCGTACGCTTCGGGAGTAAAAATGTCGTTTTGTCGTTTTGTTGATCGTTCATGTGAAGTACGAAGAGGTAGGTCTCCTGTTTTCGTCTGTCTGTCTGCCGTCCCGATTTTTTTCAATAGCCGGACGAAACTGGTGGATATGATTTGCCAACTAACTGCTACAGAAATTTAATAAACTCTGATTTTTAGTTTTAACAAAACATGTTATTATATTCTGGATTTTTGACACTCGCTAATTATTATAGCCTGAAACTGACGAATTTTAATCTGAGTCCACGTATTGCTCTAATAGCTGCTTCCAATTTGTGTTGTGGAATATCGCTTTACGGTGTTGGCAGCCGTATTAAATGGTTAAAAATTACGCAAAATACTCATGTGATGCACATGTGACCAAATACATAAAACGTACACACAAAAAAAGTAGGTAATGGAAACAATGTTATGGGGATAACTCTTAAATTACTTATGGCGAATATAATATAGAAAGGAACTCGTCGTCTATCCGAAATGGTATTAAAACATAACATGCACCAGTAAGCCAAGCTAAAAATAGCTGTTACCACGATCAGATTTACTTAACAAGTTGTGAAATTACGTCATTAATTGTTCGGAGGAGATAAACAAAATATCGGTTTCAATGACTTTTAAATGCATCTATAATTTTAAATCAATCGCTAGTTGTTAGGCGATTATTTCAGAAATAAAATCGTCAGGAGGTAATAGACAAAAAACGACAACGAGATAAAATTGGAGATTCGTCACCATGACCCTGTTACAACACTTCCTTTAGATATCAACTGAAGAAATAAAAAAATAATTACCAACAAATTGGGTATTAAAAGGTCTATGTTGGATTATCTTGTAGAAATGGGTCACACAAGTTAGGACACTGTTCAATTTTTTCATACTTTTCTAAAACCAAGGCGAATAAAATGTCTTATACCCTTTTATTTTAAAAATAAATATCCCGGATAAAACTCCATTTTTCGTTAATCTTGCTTCTCTATTCTTAAAATTAAAAAAAAAATAATTAGTTATTCATGCCATCCAGAAAGATGATGTTTTTAAAAAATGTAGATGAGTTTTTTATGTATTTAATATAATTAATTTTATTATTTTTCTGTATCTATAAATTATTATTATAACATCCAAATAACGCTTCGGTGGCAAGTCCACTTGGCGAATTTCTCTACTTGGACCACATACTTAGTTGCCTGATTCATACCTTTATTTATTTTACCTCACCTCTAATGGAAAACTTCGTACATTTTTTCGAATCTGAACAGTTTAGCTTTGCAAAATTCCTCCCTGTATGCGTCTTTAAATTCCGCACGTCCTCCCACGTCAAATTCCCATTTTTACGCCATCCACTGTTATTGCAACAAGCAATAAAATTCCTATTACAAAATTTAACGTCTCATATTAATGACGAGCGGCCGCTTCCGTTTCAGCAGTTTCATTCAACAAAAGCCGTTTCGCCACTGAAAGCCGATCAATGAATCGATTCATGATCACTGAATAATTTTTTCAGCTTGGGCGCCATCTGCGCTCCGACTTTTATTGCTTATTTACTATTTTCTAAATAAAGCGGTTTGTTTCGCAGGAACAGGCTTTAAGTCTTGTCACGAGGACGACCGACAACCAGAAGGCCGAAGACGAAGGACGCCCTGAAATGAGGAAGAGCAAGAATTCCACTCTATTTACCATAGAGAATTTAATTAAAAATAACGACTCGGGTAATAAAATTGGTTAAATAAATACGAGGTTTCCAGCATTTCTTTGATGTTACCATGTTTTTTGTGATTTAAATTATTTGTATTAGTTTTTGAGGGTTTCTCAACAAATAAAGATGTTTATATAAATGTGTGTTTTATGTGTGTATCTAATATTAGTCATATACGAATCAACAACTCGGGACGATGCAGGTTAATGATTTGTGCCTCACTAATGTCAACAGATTTTTAGAAATGTTTATCGAGGAAAATTCTATTTCAAATTTTCAAATTTGACCATAATTTCATTAATTTATTAACCATAAGATTAAACAAACCTATATTTTTTTAGACTTTAACCGATATCAGTTTACAAAGTAATAAAAAAATATATTATTAAGTACTAAAGAATGTCCTGGAATTGGAAAACTTTTTAGCAAATGTTTATTTTTACAACATATTGACATGTACTGTGGTAATATGTAATAATCAGTATTTTGACCCTGCAGAATTAGTTCTCCCAGTTATTACTATTATTTACAATGTTTTTTACTACGTTCAACTATTTAACTATTTGGTGGAATTTATGTCAAATGTGTGCACCTAATCTTTACCACATGTTGTTTGTATAAATGAAATTCGCCGACTTGAGTTATGTGAAATTTTAAGAAAAGGGAATGTCACGCCCATGACGAGACATAATCTGACAGGAAATTTTTTGCAATAATGAAAACGTGCCAGTTTTTTGAATCTACATGTGTATATGTATTTAAATGTTGTACTTACATTAACACTGATTCTTATACTAAAAAAGAATCTAAATTAAAGAAAGAAGAACAAATGATTAATTAATTAAATTTTTGATGATATCTTAAAAACAAATAGAGAATAGTACCCTTTTGTAATTTTTATACTTTAAACTATGTTTTACTTTTTTTTTAATTCCTATTACAAGATTTGAGTAATTTTTACTTGGGATAATTAATTATTTAGGCATTTTTTCACTTTAGCGTTGAAAATGTGACCATGTCCAGTCTTTGACACTCCATATTATAAATAAATGAAAAAATACAAAATTAAAAAAAAATGTCACACAATACTGTGGTTTCAGTAAAGCTTTCGATTGCTCGTCAATCATTAGATTTTGTTACAAAAATAAAGAATTTGTGGGATATATGGTAGCATAGCGTTAATAAAACGTAGCAGATGGGTAACAAATAATAATAATAATATTTACTGATTTGAACAGGAAGAAATCCCAATTACAGAAACCAAATAAACTAAAAATAAACTCCTACAAAAAAATAACTGGAAAATTGACAAAAAAAATAAGTAATCTTAAACATAATAAGGGTACATACGTCTTAAACATATAATATTATTCTACAATGTTTACCAAATTAGCAGAGATCAAAATTAATGAATCATTATGAATATCAGTAGTAACAGTTATTAGAAATACAGTTAAATAAACCTCACATTAAATTAATTCGAGATCTATCTAGAACATTATTAGTTGTTGTAGTAGAGTTAATATAAAAACAAAATTAATTTTAGCAAAGAGCACAGAACAGTCAGTTCTATTATGAAGAAGATTATATAAGAATCGAATCAAAAGCATATTTCGCAGAGCATGCACTGATCTAAAATTAAATCTATTCAAAAGACCTGAATGCTCTACACCACGTGGGGGGTAAACACCGTACTAAAGTCTTGATCTCACCAAAGAAAAAAGTAATGTGATAAGAGTTCAGTCATTGACAAATTCTCTACAATTGCGATAAATAAAACCATACATCTTGTAAACCTTAGCAATAATGTCTTTATAATGAGTTGTGAAATAAAATTTGCTATCGAAACTGATACCTAAGTCTTTTATGCAGTCAACTTTTTCCAGTACGACTCCTTTTAAATTATAGTCAAAAACAATGGTGATAAGTTTTCTTGTATAAGAAACAACTTTGCATTTAGGGGTATTCAACATTAATCTACTTCGAATGGTAAAGCAAAATTAAACAAAATTGAAGATGGTAACAATCATTAATAGAATTAATTTCCGTCTATAATTTGAGATCATCAGCCATCATAAGTTTATTGCAGGGAATAGCATCAGGAAGATCGTTAATAAAGAGCAAAAACAAGAAGGGTCCTAAGTTCGATCCCTGTGAGACCCCAGAAGATGGAGTAAACTGTTTAGAACTAAAATTTCTGTATTTCACAAATGAGATTCTACCGGTCAGATAAGAGATTAAAAGTTTCAATAACGGATTTGCGAAGCCAGTATTACAGAGTTTTTGCAGTAATAAATAATGATGTATTTTATCGAAAGCCTTTTCGAAATCAGTACATATGACATTACATTGTCCATTACCATGAATTACTTCCGATATATTGGGAAAATACAGCTAAATTTGGAATAGTCGATTTTTTTTCACAAAACCGTGCTTACCTACTAGATGAAATCAATGGCTTCGTCGATGAGTAAATGTGATAATACAAAATTGATTCGAAAACCTTAGCAACGTTGGCAAGTATCGAAATACCTCTATAATTTGTCACCTGATTCTGCTGTCCTTTCTTAAGAATGGGACAAATATAACCCTTCTTCCAAAGTGAACGAAAGACGGATTTCTTTATTATTAAATTAATTATGTATAATGCAAAGTGGCTCAGCAAGAATCTGCGCATAGTCTGTAAGTAAGAAAGAGGGAAATCCATCAATACCCATTGTGAAACAATCCTTGGATTTTTTTAAATTTATCAGAACATCTTCAACAGTAATTTGGCACGATGGAATAGAAATATTAGAATTATTCAGTGTTAAAAATGAGATGCACTCCATAGGTTTAGAAGTAATAAACACTGTCGAAGATGTCTGCAAATGCGTCGACAATTTCAGAATTTTTTGGAATCAACAAAAATTGATTGTTCTAGGTCGGATAAGTATTTTTTTTAAAAGCACAATTTTTTAATCGAATAGAATGAATGACGTTACTAGTAATCCGAGGAGATTTGAGAGAGAATATTTGGGCACGGTTGGGTCAAATAATCTTTACGGAGTATCATAAAATTTGGAACATGCTTCTTCCACATTATCAACATTATTTATGAAACCCCAAACAATAGCCAAAAGTTGAGTTGCAGTTATTTTAAATTGTTGATTCGAAAATCTTGTGAGACGTGAAAAGAGATTTTGTTCAAATTTATAGACCGAGAAGGATGATGTAGCTGCTTGCATTATTAGGAGTATTGAAATCACGTATCACTAAAAAGTGATTGTTATTCGAAAAAAATTCAAGGGAACTAAATGAGTCAAAAAATAAATCGAATTGCTGGATTAAAGTGTGAGGTGGAATATATAAAACAATAATAAATAAAGTATGATAATTATCAATAATCACTCTTGCATCGATAATATCACTAGAAGGAACACCGGCACCTTTAGACAAACCTGTAACTTCCATAGAATGGTCTTTACGAAAAACAGTATAGTTGGTGGGAAAGAATTCACTACAATTTACAAAAATGGAATAACCATTTGAGGAAGTATAACTGAAAATATGTTTGTGCTGGAAATTTTACACAAAGTATTCACTAAATATTTCTTTCTGATTCACCCACGTTGTGATGTCTACATTTTCTTGTCTTCTTTTGATGTATATTACGATGTACAATTGGTTTCACAAAAAAACGGGACAAGTGGGTGAGTAAAGCAGGTTCTCATAGATCAATGAAAAGCAATGGGAATATGACGTTTATGTCACTGTCATTTGTCCCGTTTTTTTTGAAACCAATTGTATGTAAGATATTTATGTCAGAACTCTAATAGACATAACATTTATGTTTAAGACCCACCACTGACCTGGAAATGACATTCCGGCAAGACTTCTATCATTACGGGTACTAAGACCAAGTAATGATATGCATTGATTAGATTAACAAAACAACTTTCGAGATTCTAGAATTACAGCATACAAATTAGTCTGCTATTATTCTCTAATCTCACCCCATTCCCAAAAATCTAGCGTAACTACCGATCATTTATCCGCGCATCACTTGGAAAGTGACCTACACTACTCTGACCTACTGGTGCTAATCTAATCTGACTGACATGATCAGACTGTTCGAGAAACTTACGAACAATATGATGACATGTTCCTAACAAAACAGCTTTTTGAATTTTGACAATTATTGAATCATGCAAATGCAAAGACTTTAAATTCCCAACTAAGCTATTTGGGACTACACCTACATTAGAGATAACTAAGGGTAGAATTGAAATTTTTTTAAGATTCAACATGGATTTCATTTCTATCGATAATTGTAGATATTTTGAAATCTTAGTTTGGTATGTTTGAATAATGTTGTTTGTGTTAGGAACAGCAATGTCAGTGAGAATGGCTTCGTTCGTGTGTTTTTTGATAAGTATGATGTCTGGTCTGTTAGCTGTAATGTTTAAGTCTGTAAGTATTGTGCGATCCCAGTATAATTTATATTTGTTATTTTCAAGGAACGGAGATGGAATGTAAGTGTAATAGGATGTTGTATCTTCGATTAAGTTCGCAAGTGTTGCTAATTCTTTGTGAATGATTTTGGCTGCGTTGTCGTGTCTAGCTTTGTAGTCAGTTTGAGCCAGGGTGCTACAGGAGGAGATTATGTGCTGGATCGTTGCAGGTTTTGCTTTGCAGAGGCGACAGCAGTCGTTTCTTATGTTCGGATCTTTGATGATGTATTTTCTGTAATTCTTGGTATTTATTACTTGGTCTTGAATAGCAAACACAAATCCTTCTGTTTCGGCATACAAACTTGATTTTTTCAACCAAATCAATGACATCTTCTTGTTGACATGAGTTTCTTCTAAGTCTTTGTAGAATTTTCCATGTAGTTGTTTTTGTTTTAGACCACATATTATTTTTTTATTATTAAAAAGTTGAATCAACTATTTTTTTTTATTTATTTGAAAATGAAAATGAAAGTACGTTAATCGATTTGAAACTTTTGCCCGACGATTTTCATAACTTCGTAGTAAAACGAATGAAAAATTCAAAATTTCGCGTTGAACTGTGATCGTTCCCAAAATGGAACCTTACGTTGTCTGTTTTTTATCGCAGA